CACTCTGCGGCTAGAGCGGACAGCCCGCGCCTGTCGGCAAAGAGGTCCAACGTGCAAGTGGCGTTGCATCTACTCTGCACTTCCTTATACAGATCCTTACGCAGGACAGCATATTTGAAAGGATCTTCGGCCCAGGCGGCTGCAAAACCCGAGTCCCGGCGGCCGAGGCGAGTTGGCGACTACGCAGGGAACGACCCGTGTCTGCCGCGAGCACCTCTTGGCAGACGCGCACGAGTTTGTCGCATTTCTCTTGCGTAACTGTGACTACGGCATTAACCGCGTCGAAAGTCCAGCCGATCCACGTCTGGCGGGTCGCTGGCACTTTCACGCCCGAAGGCTTTGTGCTGACGGGTATGCCGCAATATAACAGGAAATCGAGAGCGGTGCGTAGGTCGCGCCACGCCTCGGACCTCGACGCGGCTGCGCCGAAAAAGTCGTCGACGAAGTCTAAGAAGTCGACTCCCCTGTGCTGTTTGAGTAGTCGCAAGACCTCTTTGACGGAGGCATCTTTGATGCCAGGGGCACTTTTGAGGCCGAACGGGAAAGAGTTGTACTTTCCGAGCTGCCGCGTGCCAGGGCGGTAAAAGCCGAGGAGAAGGGCGTCGACCTCGGCCACCTTCCAGTTGAAAAAAACAGTCTTGGAGATCCAATACGAACATCCACGACGAGGACGTGAGGCGTTGTATCGCGTCCTCCAAGGTGCCGTACCGGACCCCGATATCAGGGATATGTTCGTTGACCCGCCCCATGCGCAAATCAACGATGAGGCGCGCCTTTAATCGTTGCTCGTCCGGAAGATCGTCCGCAGCGCCCTCCCGCGGTTTCAGGAGAAGCGCGCACGGGTTAAGGAATGTACCCCCTCGAGTTGCAGTTGCGCCATCGGCTGCGCGGGGGCGGCGAACGCCCCGACCGCGGAGCTGCCACGGCGCCTGCGCCACAAAACATGTGTACGGATCCAGCTGACGACCGAAGAGGACAAGGATAGGATGTTGCGTGCGCCCAACCCCGAAGCCCCTTTCCCGAAAGCAAGCCCCCTTAGAAAGACGCCAACAGGAAAGACAAAAAGTGAAACATCAAACGCAAGGGCGCTACTCTTCAGTAACTTGCAAGCAAGTCTCACAGTGGGACAGTGGTGAGGACGGTGGGACAGTGGTGGGGACGGTGGTGGTGGGGACAGTGGTGAGGGCGATGGTGAGGACGGTAGTGGGGACCAGGGAGTCGTTTGCTGGCGGCGAATAGGGGGGGGAGGGTGGGGAGGGTTCGAACCGGTACTGAACCCCCCGGTTTTCCCAGGGGAAAGGTGGGCTTCGAACCGGTAGTGAAACCCCCGGTTTTCCGGGAGAGGGGGGTGGGGAAGGGTTGGGGGGGGAGGTGTTGCCCGGGGCGGGGGGGGGGGGGAAAACGAGGGGAGGGGGGGGGATTTTCGGGGGGGGGGGGCCGGTTCCGGGGGGGGAGAGGGGGGGGGGGATTTGGGCACAGCAAAGCGGCGGCGGATCACGTTCTCTCATAGATTCTCATCGGCGAGCGTCAAGTGAGGAGGAGTCAAATTGCTCACTACATTGGGACGGACCGAGTGATCGAAGGCATGCACGCGTACACGTTTGTTGCGGTGGGATTTGGCCAACGTGCCGACATGTGTTTTGTCAGCGTCTTCTGTAGGCACCCTCTTGGGTAGGGTCTGCGCACGACGTGGAATCACATCTGCCACCATTCGTTCTACTTGTCATCTGGCATTTGTCCCCTTTGCTCCCGATCCTCCCCTCCCGCCCCTCCCCATCCCCAAGCCAGATCTGGCTCCTGGCCTCCGCGCCACTTTCGTAAACGAAACAGCACCGCGATATCCCCTGGGGCGCCCGCATGGCCGCGCAGTAAGGCCGCCATGCCCGCTACGACGACGGACGACGGCGACGACGATGACGATAACGGCGATACGATAATGACGACAAAGACGACAGACGACAGACGAGCGACGACGACGACGACGACGACGACGACGGCGGCGACGACGACGATGACGATGACGACGATGACGGTGGCGGCGGCGACGGCGACGACGACGATGACGACGATAACATCGATAACGACGATAACGACAAAACATCAATAACGACGACGGCGACACTATCAACGATAACGACGACGACAGACGCCGACAGACGACGACGACGACGGCGACGGCGACGGCGACAGCGGAGTCGGCATCGACGTCGACGTCGTCGCCGACAACGACGACGATTACGACGACGACGATAACCACGATAACGACGATAATGACGACAATGACGACGACTATGACGACAGACGACGACGAACGACGACGACGACGACGACGACGACGACGACGACGACGACGACGACGACGACGACGACGACTACAACGACGACTACGACGACGACGACGACGGCGGCGGCGGCGACGACGGCGACGATAACTACGATAGCAACGACAACGACGATAACGACGACGATATCGACGGTGTCGACGATAACGACGACGACG